GGTAAGTGCCACACTGGCAGACATACTCAGGACTAGACTGCAAGAAACATGAAATAATTCTTTGTCCAGGCAGCAATGACAAAGTCTCTGTCAGAAGATTTGTCCAGTTTTGAGCCACAAACCAGGACACAAAGGAACAATGGGAGACAGCCTAGATAGATAAAAACAAAAGTTCAAGGCATAGCTGATGATTTTATGATCAGCCAAATGGAAAACATTTTTTATTAATGACCAAATTAACTGGACTGGTTTATGAAAAAGAGGAAAAAGCACAGATGAATTTATAATTCTCAAACAGCTACAAGGGTTTTGCAAAGAGGAAAAGAATAAACTATTCCCTCCAGTGACAAGCCAAAAAAATGATTTTAAATTGCAGCAAAAGAGATTCAGACTGGATACTAGAAAAAGATTTCTCAGCTGTGCAGATGGTTTCCATTGGCATTCACCACCAATAAAAGTTATAATGAGTGTCTAGATAAACACCAGTTAAGAGGGAATAGGTAAAGCTATTCCTGCCTTGAGTCTTCTTAGTCACCTATGTCTGCATGTGGCCTACCATCTTGTTCCGACAATTGTTTAAAGGACCCCCTGCTCTCATACAAATTTCACATCAGACTGAGGGAGGAGAACAAAACACCCCTTGTAAAGTTTACCAAAAAAAAAAACCCCCAAACCCTCAAAGCTTCTATAATGATATAAAACACAGAAAAATTCTTACCAAGTAGATCACCTGATAGGTTGACAGGTAGTATGACACACACAGACAAAATGCTGATAGCAATCAACAGGCAGATGATGTGACGTTGGAAGGCAAGATAGTGTATGGCATCTTCACCACATCTCTCATGAATCTCATCATCGCTGCATCATAAACAGAAAAGCATATGGTCAGTCTGCTCAGTCTATTTGGGGATTTAGGGGGTGGCTTATGAATATACACTAAATTCTCAGTCTACCCAGTGACAACTCCATCAATCCCTACTGGTTTTCAGCATGGTTGTGTTCTTTCATGCATAAATTCAGGTTCCAAAAGTGTCTTTTTTTCTTGTGCATACAAAAAATTAACATGAGGGAATTTAAGACGGAAACAAGTAATTTGAAAAGCAAGTATGAGTCCAAATTCTTTTTTATCAGGCTGAAAGTCATTTGTTGTGACCTCCTGCCTTATGACAGTCACAAGGTGTTAAGTCTAGCTCTCAAAACACTGTCATAGTGTTCATTTCTCTCCAAACAGGCTCCCCAAGAGGAAAATTGCAACAGAATCACTTTAGTCTTAGGACACAGTTAACAGAAAATATAACAGGCTTTGGAATGAACACTCACCATCTTTCCATTGCCAGCAGCATAGATCATTAAAATAGGAGAACTTGAAAAAGGAAGGAACTGAACTAGCAAAGATGGAGAAAGATAGGCTCAATCCCCACCCCTTTTTGTTTCAATGTACCCAAGCTAGAAATTGATTTTTAAAGTCATGATCTACTAATCCCCAAGAGATAAAAAGAACCAACATCAAGCTTTTCTTAGTTAGTCAATTCCAGTCCCAACTAAATCACCAGTTTTCCACAGAAACCCATGCAGGGAAATCCCATTTCTTGCCTGGGGGCCTACAGGCTTCAAACAGGGGAATACCCACAAGGTATTCTTCCAAGAGCAAAAACCTAGAGCCTAGTTATTAGCTCTGAATCCGTATGAATGCCAGAGATTCACTTACAGTCACACAAGACCAGGAAGACCCAGGGTTGCCAGCAGGACAACTAGATCCTGGAAAAGTATTCCCATAAGCTGACCTTGTTTTCATTTTCTTTTTTTTTACCCAACCAGAAGCACCTGTATCTGTGCTTGTATTAAATTCCATCTACTCAAAGGGAAAAGAAAAGCCAACATTTTTTGAATAAAAACTACCTTTTCTAATTAAAAAAGAACAAAACAAAACACAGCTCACTATTTGTTTCATATACTTACTGCATCCGAAAAGCAGCTGTCATCCAAGAACAAAATCCCTATAAATAAAGAAGGAAGTTTATAGGAGCTAACATACAAAAAAAATAGTTTCTAATCTGTACAGTTAAGAGAAAAGTTTCTATTAGGCCAACCACTTTGCTAAAAAGCAGTTAGTCTGTTGCTCTGAAATAATAATTTAGAAACATACAGAAAAATACCTAATACTCTGCATACTTTGCACAAGGTACATATGTCTTCAGATATATTTCAGAGAGTATTTAAAGTGGGGTTTTTTCATTCCTTGCAAATTTATCGCTTGGGCTTCTTAAATTTGTACAAGCCTGTCCAAATGCCAATGAACACACCAAGTTTGAGGCTTCTAAGGATTTTTTAATGGATTGTTTTAGAGCAGAAAAGGTGTTTTTTTCCAAAACCATTCCCAGAGACTCTCCAATTTCAAGGATAAGCTTCATGAGAGTCTAATACAAGTTAATCAGTTCAACAGTAATTAGAAACAAGGCTGCGATTACATTAACAGAAGGGCTTCTTATATAGGTTTACAAATCCTCTGAAATCCTCCAACTGTACAGCCAAGATTCCATCTGACTGAGAGTCACAGTATGATTCAAAAAACCCTCTTTCTCAAAAGGCCTCTTTCAAGTGAACAGCATCCCCTAAATAGACACATTTTATTCAACAGTTTCAATGCTAAAATTGCTTTAGGGTTTTAAAAAAGATGAAGAAAACTCCACAAATAGCAGAGCAATCCTGATCAAACCAGAGTATGCTTTTGATGCTTACACAAATAATTAGTTGCAAGGCTAAATATAAGTAGATGCATGTATGAAATGTCAAAATGTAGGCTGCCACCACTGGACAACTCTTGCATGGCTCATTCTGAAGCTGCAACACAAAATTATAGAGATGCACCAATTCAAAGACTCCGGGAAGACCATGAGGGAACCAGTTAAAAGTTTGGCCAAAAAGAAATTATCTTCCACTCCATACCAGTTTGATTATTAAGAGTACATAGCACTATTATTAACCTCACACTTGCATCCAGTTTTCTCAGCTTTGTGAGGAAAACAATGTACTAGAAAGGGCAACTAGGTATTATTCGACATGTGAACATAATGCAACTTTTTAAAGTGTTAAAGTACATATTATTTACTAGTCTTTTTTTCTCTCTTCCCTCCCACTTTGAAACTCTGACTCTCCTAAACGGGTTACGTAAAAAACAACGACACAAGATTCTGGTTTATGGTATGGCAGAAGCTTGTCAGGAAACAGAAATTATGTATGGCTCTATAAAAACACAGCAAATAATGCAATATTAATTTTTGCACATAGATGGTCTTCCAGTTTAATGACTGGCTCATTGGGCTAGATGGAATGGCAGATGTCACTAAACAGATTACATTAAAGAAGCATCATCAAAACTCTAGAATACTTACCCTATCATATTCAAGATCTTCAGGTACTGATGAAGACGTTGACAATCGGTTGTATCTTGATTCACTAAAATACATTAAATGAAGCCTATAACAGATGATTCAGTTCTACAAAGTAATTTCGATTTTAACAATTCTGAAGTAACTAAGGGAAGTAGTACAAAACCACTTTTTCACTTACAAAACTTCACTGTGGTTTTCACCTTTTAGCACGTGCCTAATTATAGAAACTTGTGCTATGTCTCATGTTGAAAAGGGAGGGAGTGTGAGCTCCTGACATGAGAGCACCTAACTGAGCTAGAAAGAAGAAAACACTTTATCAGGAAATGAAAACCATAGTAACAATAAGAGAATGCAACACAGGTTTGGGAGCCTAGCACAGACCAGATCTGCAAGCTGGCTTCCAGTTCAGACATTCTTTATTACGAGACATCACCTGTTTTCCCTCCACCTTTCCTCCCTCATCCTACAGCCACTGTTCACAATTTCTCCTAGCAATTAAATCCCTCACCTGCAAGGCCACCTCTTCACATGAACTGAGTCCTGTAAGCAAGGTTAGAACCACTTAGAGACTGTAGCCCTCAAAACTAGCACAGTATCTGTTTTCAGCTTGCTGTAAAAAGAAATGTTGCAATGGTAATTGCAGAACAACACATGTTAAAACAGTGTGCATTCATAGGTGTATCTATAACTTTGACCATCTGGCTCAGGTCCAGCAGGGACAATAACAGGCTTCTACGTGTCTGACTGCTCAAGGGCCTGTTGGTCCCATACAGGCCTCTGCAGCCCACATGAAAGCCTGTACCAAAGCACCTTCATGCTTGCAGCCTGAGCTAGCTGGATTAAAGCCTTTGCAGTTATTGTCCATCTTATTTTACGTCATCTGCATTTCACAACTGTCCACGGATTACACCTAAAACATGCTTTGAGTTCTTTCCTGTTGCTTAGTTGTGAATTTACCACGACTTGGTTACAGCAGTAAGAGGCTCGCTGTTAAAGTTTACCCACTTCATATATAGCTGTCTTTTTAACATCCCACCACATCATCCTGCAGACAAAAAATAATCACAGAATCACAGAATTTTAGGGGTTGGAATGGATCTTACAGATCACCTAGTCAAAACCCACCCTGCCTGGGCAGGGACACCACCACACTAGACCAGGTTGCTCAAAGCCTCATCCAACCTGGTCTTGAACACCGAGAGGTTCGGGACAGTCACTGCTTCCCTGGGCAACCTGTGCCAATGTCTCAACACCCTTGTAGTAAAAAACTTTTTTCTAATATCTAACCTAAACGTCCCCTCCTTCAGTTTGAACTTGTTACCCCCGTCCTATCATTGCAGTTCCTCACAAAGAGTCCCTCCCCAGCTCCCTTGTAGGTTCTTCAGATATTGAAAAGTTGCTATGAGGTCTCCACACAACCTTCTCTTCTCCAGGCTGAACAGCTCCAACTTCCTCAGCCTGTCCTCATAGGGGAGGTGCTCCAGTCCTCTTAGCAACTTCATGGCCCTCCTCTGGACTTGCTCTGACAGTTCCATGTCTTTCTTATGTTGAGGGCACCAGAACTGCACACAGTATTCCAGGTGGGTCTCAGGAGAGCAGAGTAGAGGGGAAGAATCACCTCTTTTGACCTGCTGCCCACACACCTTTGATGCAGCCCAGGATTTAATTGACTTTCTGGGCTGCTAGTGCACACTGCAGCTCATGGTGAGCTTCTCATCCACTGTCACTCCCAAGTCTTTCTCCTCACTGCTGCTTTCAATTACTTCCCCATCCAACCTGTAGCTGTGCCTGGGATTGCCATGGCCCAGATGTAGGACCTTGCACTTCATTTTGTTAAGCTTG